CCCTAAAGGGGATGTTGAGAAAAGTTGTTAGCAGGGATGGGAAAGATTTGGACTTTTCGCTTCCTTACCTGTTGTTTGCCATGGGCTTCTTCCCATTTGAGCTTTTATATGGTAGGCATCTCAGGGGTATACTGGACGTTCTAAAGGAAACTTGGGAAGAGCAGGGAGTACCTGGGACTAATCTCTTCCAGTATGTCAAAGATATGCAGGTGCGTATGGCTCAAATTGCTCCTCTTGTTCGCCAGCATATGGAACAAGCCCAGCGTATGCAGAAGTCTTACTATGACCAGAGAGCCACCGTGAGACAGTTTAAAAGTGACGACAGAGTAATGGTTTTAGTGCCCACTGCAGATAGCAAACTTCTAGCACAGTGGCAAGGTCCCTATGACGTTTTGGAAAAAGTGACCCTGGTATATTATAAGGTTAGTCAACTGGGACGCCGGAAGAGGGAGGCGGTGTTTCACATAAACCTTCTTAAGCCATGGAGGACTAGAGAGGCCTGCACAGCCACAGTATGTCACCCAAAGCCTGATCCGCAGTCCCCAGGACCTTCAGTGACAATCTCTTCATTACTGACACCTTAGCAAGTAGAGTAGGCTAGATGCTTGGTTGAGAAAAATTGAGGTGTCTTCTCTCTCAACCCGGGCCGAACCCGAGAAATTCCCCTTGACGTTATTATGGAACCAGGGGTTACAATAAGGGTAAAATCATACCGCATTCCAGAGACAAAAGGGGAAGCTGTAAGGGCGTAAGTCAAGAAAATGTTTGAGCTTGGAGTGATAGAGGAGTCTCACAGCCAATGATCCAGCGCGATTGTTCTAATGCCCAAACCTGATGGATCTATCTATCAGGTTCTGTAACGACTTCAGGGAATTAAATAAGGTGTCTAAGTTTGACGCCGATCCCATGCCTCGGGCGGATGAACTTGTAGAGCGACTAGCCAAAGATAGGTTGTTCACTACTTTAGATCTGACAAAAGGTTATTGGCAGATCCCATTAACAAAGCGTGCCCGGGAGAAGGCAGCCTTTGCCACTCTTGATGGCCTGTTTCAGTACAGGATCATGCCTTTTGACCTCCATGGAGCCCCAGCCACTTTCCAAAGATTGATGGATATGCAACTGCATATTTGGATGACGTGATCATTCATAGCCCAGAATGGGAAAGCCACCTGAACAAAGTGCAGGCAGTGTTGGATACTTGTAGAAGAGCTGGACTGATGGCCAACCCCTCTAAATGCACCTCGGGTTTAGCTGAGGCTAAATACTTGGGTTATCTGGTTGGCAGCGGACTTGTTAAACCTCAAATGAACAAGGTAGGGGCTATACAGAGCTGGCTCAGACCACTGAGGAAAAAAACGGTCAGAGCTTTTTTGGGAATTGTAGGCTACTATCGGGGGTTTATTCCTCACTTCGCTACAAGGGCCGCTCCACTCACTGACCTTATTAAAGCCAGAAGTCCGGACACGATAAAGTGGAACTGCGAGGTTGAGGAAGCCTTTGCTAGTGTGCGGGCAGCACTTTGTGCCCAACCTGTGCTTGTGGCTCCCGACTTTAGGAAGGAGTTCTTTCTTCAGACCGATGCCTCGAAGGTTGGTTAGGGGGCAGTTTTGTCCCAATATGTGGGTGGTGAGAAACACCCTGTGCTGTATTTGAGTTGGAAGTTGTTACATCGAGAATAGCGCTATGCCACAGTAGAAAAAGAGTGTCTAGCTATTAAGTGGGCCTTGGAAACACTCTGTTACTATTTGTTGGGCAGGCAGTTTACCCTGGTCACGGACCATGCTCAATTAAAATGGATGCACACCAACAAGGACAAGAACGCTAGAGTCACAAGGTGGTTTTTGTCCTTACAACCTTTTACTTTTGTGGTGCAACATAGGGCAGGTCTCCTTCGTGGTAATGCAGATGCTCTATCTCGGGTGGATGGCTTTGCTGAGGTGGCCGCTTCACACCCCTGTGCTAAGCTGGGGGGGAGGATATGCAGACATCCCAACCTGCAAAACCTTATTTCAGGGAGGTTCCCGTCTCATTTCAGGGAGGTGCCCTTTCTGTCTTTTGGTGTTTTTTTTACAGCGGCCGTCATCAGAATATAAAATAAATAAAAATGATAATAATAATATATACACACAT